GGTTGCAGTTTTGCTATCTATATTTGTAATATTTGTAATTTAACCTTATAGACTCTATCGATCTATCCAGGCCTCCATTCAAAATTCCACGGTAAGTTGGCGGACTTCCCTGGTAAGCGACGGCGGAAAAGCTGCACAATTTGGTTGCAAAGCAAACCCTTCTCAAGCCCTTAAACTTTTTCCGGAAACTCACTACCCAGTGTAATAAGATAAAATTACTTCTGAAAAGCAGACTTGCATAAGACTTACATTCACTGAGTATTGTATTGCAATCTTGTTCAATGTATCCCCAGCTTTGATTTTTCGCTCTATAATAACCGCGTCCTTATTAAACGGTGATTCCTTCCGTCGCTCTTGATCTGACGGCGTTCGTCCAACTCTGGAACGCATGGCGAACTCCGAATGGCTTTCACCGGACATTTTGAAGAGCACGGTCGGCTCTTCTGCACTGAAACATTACCGATAATCACAGATAAATTTTTTTCCTGAAGTCAGAAATTCAGGAGGAAATCAGGAATGGTGAGGGTAGCAAGTTGTTCCACGTAAGTCTGCAATCGCGTTGAAATCCAACCCTCAACGGTTACGACGCAAATGTCGGCTTTTCAAGGGAGAAAAGGAAGAAAGGGGGAACAAGAAACGAGTGAGGAAGCAAAGGAACGAAAAGGAAGAAAGACGGTGGAATATAAAAGCATCTACAGTTATCAGATGCCCTGCGATAGTCTTCAACGTGGGTTACGAGGTCACGTACTCTGGTGTCTGCAACTCTCTCACATGCGCATACTGTCTCGTGCCGTTGCCTGAATTTCAAGGCAACGAGATTTCACTTCACGGAATTTTGCACTCTTCTCTGAACACCTCTCTGTCTTCTCTCCAGTTCATTAAAAAGCAGAGGTCAAAATTCATTATGTATCCTGTTTTCAAACGTATTTGTAGGTTTTGTTTCTTCTTCCCTCTTAAAAGGGATGTTCGCTGCTAACTATTTGATGTTTCGTTGTTTGAATAATTCCAGTACTGTACTTCGCATTATCAGATTCAGATAAGTGGGCACTGTGTTTAATAGTGCGTTCGACTTTCTTCCAATTTCGGCGTGAAAAATATCATTGCCGGTTGTCTCGAAGCGTTTTGATGGAGGTGAAGACGACGAAGCGTAGGCCTATTGAAGCCCTACAGTCTTTTAAAGTTATGACGACATAGGGAAAGGATATCCTGTTGGACAAACTGCTATCCATTGTATTTGACTTGCGCAACTTTTCTCTTATTTTAGAATGAACACTTTTATGTTCTTTTCCTTAATCGCTTGCATTTTTCCGGCTGGGATTCTTTATATTTTTTACAGTGCACCTTTTCACTTACCGCTGTGTTTCAGCTTCCACGAGATGTGATGAGCAAGGTCATAAAAGTTCTTTTTGTCTCCTAGACTTTAATATAAAGCTCCCAGACGAATCCCGTGCCAGCTCACCGTTTCCGGATGTAGAAGGCAGCCAGTCCGGGCTTTGATTCCCGGACCGCGCGCGTGGTAAGCCTGCCACTTACACTACACCACCTTCGCCTCTAGAGTTTATTCAAATACTCCGAGGTTTACTTTACTCAATTCAAGAGTAATTTCTTCAGTATTAGGATGACAGCCGTACATCTTAAATTGATCCTAAATCTATTTCCATTAGAATTGATTTTCGTTGCTCCGGTTTTTTGTAATATCCGAATGGCCGTTGTGTTTCCCCTCCGGTTACCGATCGATACGGGAGCATCGCGGTGGTTATTTGCACCACACAACCACCCCGCAGCCTGAAACAAGTTTTGATCGCTCATATCCCCCCATGTCCTATTCATAAGGATTGATCCTTCTGCCCAAGTAATTCGTAATTTGCTTGCGATGGAACATTACGAGGGTTTCGACCACTGCAATATGTGGACTCTTGTCTATAGCTTTGATGCTACTGTTCAGTAATGCGAATATTACTCAACGGATTAATCAAATTACATAATATACAAATTCGGTTAAAGACAACCTGAAGATTGACATGACCGCTGCTGTCCTGTCCGCAGCCGAAGGAGACCGATGTATTTACCAGTACCGTAGGAAAGATTTGGTCAAAGAAGCGTACCGGCAGTGCAGACTGTGATATGGATATCATTGGATTCAGAGAGTAAAAACCGGAATAACTATACAATAGCACCCGCCCCTTGTTCACACCCTGCTAGAAAATGCGAACAACCCTGGAGAATGCTTAGATGTGTATTAATAACCAGTTTGGCTGCCGTGTACAACTGCGCGCATCTTATGGAAACCCTATTTTCCTCCTTCGGAACGACCCTCTCACAAATCCTACCTACTATCTTGCCAACTTCTCCCAACTTCCTACCACATTTTCCGAAAATTCCCAAAAATTTTCCAGTTTTTCTCCAGAATTTTGCCGTCGAGCGAGGAGAATGGGGTTGGGTCGCCACCTACCAACTAATTTCAACTAGCGGAAAGTAGCAGTTGTTTAGTAACTGTAAAACGCCTCCAACCAAGGGGAAAAGAAAATCAGCCATCAAAAATTCTTCCCAGAGCAAACCCCTCCCATCTCTTTCCTCCAACGACCAAATAAGATCCCAACCCCGAAGTCTCCATTGGGGATTTCCCCCTGCCCCTAACGTACGACGACTGCTGATAGTATACAAGTACCGAACCCTAACATTTGGTTCAGGTTCCGTTTTTGAGATGCTACCTACCGTTCCCTATTTCCTCCTGTTAGCGATCATTGCCAACAACTGTGTTGCCAACAACTGGTTTATCACATCTTCAAACAACTACATTTGCTGAAAGTATGGGCAGTTTAGCAGTCGAAACGTTTCGATGGTACGTATATGAAATTGTTAGTCTCTACATTTTACTATTCTCGTATACCAGCCAATGACGTTCCCGACCTTCCTCGTAGATACTCTTTGGCATATACGTCCACTGTTACTGTGATTGGCGCAGTGAACTTCGTGCCCTCCCTTTCAGCCCCTGATTGGCTTTTATCAGTTGTTGTCACTTCCTGTCACGATCTGCAGATGATGTCCCATATTGCCGCATCCTATAATCAATGACCGCAGTTTGCATCTCTTCTGCGGTAACGCAAAAGTAAGGTCCTTTTGTCGTCAGTTACACACACACACATAGCATGAAGACACACCACATAGGCACCAAGCACACACACGACACACACACACACACACACGTGCACCCACCAACAGAACAAACTGGCGAAGTATTATACAAACCGGAGGGCTTGCACCTGAACTGTTCATATTCAATAAGTACATTCGAGTCGCCCGGCTGGCCCGCCGAGCTCTCCGTTGCCTTCGTTTTTAGCCTTCAGTTTCCGCCGCCCAAGCTGGCTGGCTCCCAGGCGGCGCACATCATAAACGGGATCGAATTATGCTTCTGGCTTGAGCTGCTCGCATAGTTGCGCGTAGTGCGTCGAATCATAATAGACAGCAGGTAACCTTAGGAAATCTGCACGCTCGAGAGTGCGCGAGGAGGGGCGTGCTGGTATCGGCATAAACGCGCCATTCTATACGTAGATCTCAGAAATAGAAAGGAAGTACAGAGTATCAATATGTGTTGCACAGAAGTTCAGAAGAACAAATTCCGTTTTTATTACCTGCATCACATACACCAACGTAGGGATAACTTGTCAATTAACAGCAATGCCACCTGTATTTTTGGTTGCATGAATGGCTGCAGATGACAATATGTTCATTGAATATCTTACAAACTACTTCGTTATACGTTCTCATCAGTGTTTAAAGTTGAAAAGCAAAAAAAAATATTTAACAATACTCACTAACGCATACAAGGTGTGTATCCATATTGGAAGTTTTAATATTTTTCCAAATTTCCTGTTTCAGCAGCGAAGTGATACTCCCGCCCTAGTGGGATGAGTAGCGAGTTGTCGTGGGATACTATCAGGAGGAGTACGCTGTCGAAATTTCGCTACTGAGAGGCTTTTTTGGCAGCGTTAGTTGCGTCATAGAACTGTCGTGAAAATGTCCCCTTATCGGTTTAGCTTCGAGAGTATAAATTGCTTTGTCACTCGTCGATCAATGATCGGCTATCCCTAAAACCATAGACTTCGGAGTGGTGGTGTTTATGAGCGTGCCCAGCGCGTTGATTGAACATGACAAACTGCATCGTTCTCTATCAGGCCCTATCAGGTGTTATCATTTCTTGTCACCCGCCGTCGCATTCTCCACCTTCCCCTTGATATCATTTGCTGAAATCAACGCCTAACTGATGCTGTGTACCGCGTTATGAGTATGTTGTCCTTTCCACTCTAACTCCCTTTATCAGCGGCTAGCAGTTCTTGTCACCCACATATTCCTGTGCCTAACCTATATCATACCTTGAAAAAACGCCCCAGTGTTCCAGTCGGACCGTCCCCTTCCTTCTCTTGCGCATGCCTCAATCGGGCTAGCACGGAGGGAAGGAAAGCAGAGGAGGGGCGGGGGGGGGCGCCCAGTGCCCCCTCCCTCTCGGCCCCACCCCACCCTGCCCCCGCACGAGCACACGTCCAGCTGCCACGCCAGCAGCTCGTGCAATGGCTCGGAGTGTACCGAATGGTTGTCTTTATATAGCGGAGATGATTCACGCATCAAACATTGCATGGTGATACTTTCCGCACCAATTTGCCTGTCTGCCTAGCGGTCGTTTTCCCCTCCAGCGAACTCGAACCCGTGAAGCATTTTGCGGACGGACAAACATACATACTTACATACTTACATACATACAGACCGACAAACCGACACACAAAGTTAGTGCTTTATAGAATAGAAGGATACAACCGGAGGCTTGCACCTAACTGTTCATATTAATAGTATTTGCCTGGTTGCTGTTCAACCAGTCCATTTCTATTTTGTCGTTCTCGTGCATTCTCGTGATTCCTATCATCCATCTGTTCAGTTGAGTTCAGTAAATTAGTAAGTAAACTTACATTTCTCTTTCTTGAACGATTCTCCACTTTGAAGAAATAACAATTTCAGTAAGAAAACCAAGCTGTGCTTTTTTTCCCTTGCGAGTACTCCGATTTTCGCGAAGCGTAGTTTGAAGCTGGCCAGAAACCGTCGTGCATAAATGAGCTTCAGGAAGTGAACAGTGCTGTGGACTGCCTTTATTGGCAGCTTTTCCGCATCACTCCTATCATCTTTCTAACTGATTACCCGATTCTTTTCAAATGCTCTCGGAGTCCTTTCGTCCCTCCTTGAGATCCACAGTGCAGGTGATAATCTTAAATAGAATTCGTGAATTGGTACCAGATTTGTCTAGGATGATAAAACACTGACAAGTACATCGGCTGGCTCCTGGCTCCCCACAAGCCACTGCATAAGCCACATGGCATTCAAGCAGCCACCTCGATTTTGAATGCGTGCCGCATCCCACAGACGCGGACTTT